ATCTACATTCAAAAATTGATATTGTAGAACTGATTTGTGTATTATGAATTTATGCTGCAATAATTACTATGATCATTACAAGGATTACTTTCTAGATTAAAAAGGTAAAGGTAGTCCCGTATTCATTATTAAACGTAGGAGATTAAGCTGTTAGCCCATCGTACTAAGCCTTGGTATTGTGTGGTAGGGTAGCCAGTTCCTTTCCACGCCATTTTTTCCTCCCCATTAGTAAACATCTGGGTACCCATTACTCTTGTGTCGAGAGAGACCAACATAGGTAAAGTGCCTTGTCCAAGAACACAAGCGAGTAATAAATAATAACCTACTACAGTATTGATACTGTTAATAGTAAAAATATCCAATTTGCTTTACCTATAGCAGCAACAGCAAAATAGAGAACACAATTAGTGTTGGTGTAGCGTAGTGGAAGTGAATGTGATTTTATTAGAGTAGTAGTGCTCACTTACTAAATAAAAATAATCATGGTAATATAATAATAAATAATAATTGTCCTTTAAAATTTAGTGCTTTTTGGTATCTGCCTGGTATTTTACGGTTTCTTACAGTATTGCTAACCTGGTTCTTAGCCCCACTTTCCCTATACAACTGCTACTGAAATTCCTACCTTCCTCTGCCACTCACACACCCTTCCCTGCCATATCAGTTCTCATATTTTAATTGATATCATAATAATTATATAAAACATTTTCATGGACGGATTTGAAGGTCGGGGCATGTCGGCTCCCTTTTAGAATGTCAAAAAAGAAAGAAATTAATGATCGCTCAAAATGCCTCAGAGGCAGTGGCGTAACTACCGCAGATTCAGCAGGTTCACCGAACCTGGCCCCCGATCTATAAGGGCCCTGCCCCCTTATACAAAATCTAATATAGCAATGTATACATAAAAATATAGGTTGATAGTATTCACTTATACATGCCTAACACAGTGGCGTAACTATCACAGGTTCTGGCGGTTTATTGAACCTGTGTTTCAAATCTCCAAGGGTCCCCTATCTTTAGGGGCCCATCCTTATAAACGAAGTCTAATAAAGCAATGCATAGAAATATTTTGATTGATAATATTTATCTTTATACTTAATACTGAACCGCTGATGACGCTAGGCCGTCAAAAGTAAAAAAGAAAAAGAAAAGAAAGAAAGAAAAGAAAAAAATTGATTGCCCAAAACACCTCAGATATTATTTTTCAGTGTCTAGAAAACAAAAATTTTGTGGGGGAATTGTATCAATCGACCCCACTTTCGGCCACCCTTTTGGACATCTCTGGATCCGCCCTGTGCTGTTCTGTCTGACCCTATACCCTGACCAGGGGCTCTTTGGGCTCATTAACTCCAGCTTGGACTCATTTCACTTTAGCATGCATTCGTCATAGTACACTTATCTGGCATGAGACGCTTTCATGCCCAAACTCCAGCTCTTTTTGTGAAATTTCATACATTTTTCAAATAGTTCATGATTTTCATGTGTCTGTTTGAATTAGATTGGCTATGGCTATGAATTCTGAAGTTCACCCCCATCCACCCTATCAAAAAAGTTGAACCTCTGATTTTAGTGCTATATTAGCTATAACTCTCACCTTGTCAATCTGCTTTCTATTTACCAATAATTGACCAATTAAAACTTATAGGCTATGTTCTCACACGGCAGCTAACGGTTAGCAGGATCTGGATCCTGCTAACCGTTAGCTGCCGTGCGAGAAAATCCCGATGCATATACCAACAATATGATGATCGAATCACTGGCCAATAAGAAACTGCAAATTGTAAACATGTACGTGTGATTGGTTGATGATAGAAACGCCCTCAACTTGCTGACCGATAGTGCCTGGTAACCGTTAGCGTATCCGGATACCGTTAACGTTCTCACGCAGGTGCTAACGGTTAGCTCCCGATCCGGATACTAGGGCTCTCGTGATCATGATTGGGTAGACAGGTTTCAAAGTAAGCTCCGTCTAAAATCTTTCACTGTTTCTCCATCGGATTTTTGCAACAATCCTTCAGACATTCATCTTCAACAGGAACCTGCAAATAATATTAATAATATCCAAAGATCTACATGTAAAAACACTCTACAATCGTCATCAGACCAGGCCGAAGCTTCAGCCCCAGAGAAATTATCGCCCGCTAAATCCAACTGGAAATATGCCTACTGAGGTGGGAAATTCAAACCCTTGCATGTGATCTATGTAGTAAGCTTGATGCCCTACTGAAACAGCAAGAGGCATTCTTAATCAAAATGGCTAAAATAGAAACCAGACAATTGGAGATGGAAAAGTCCATCATTTACACGTCAGACTCAATCAGTGAGTTGGAAAAGAAAAATGCAGATCTTACCAATAATGTGTTACATATCACTACAGAAATGGCTAATTCAACAAAACTGGCTATCCAATGACTTGAGATGGAGATTGTCGACTTGGAACGCTACAAAAGAGGATTCAACCTTCGATTTGGAATCATTCCTGAAACAAAAGGAGAAAGTTCACACAATATCATTAAAGATTTTATGGCATAGATTAATTTAGTAAAAATATGATGTGCGGTATATAATAATACTTCGGTAATCAATATTCCTGCCCCGAAGACTAAGATCCTGGATGGTGCCCGGTGGATCATTACTTTATATAAATTGTACAATAATTGATTTCATAAATGAGTTCGCTCCGGAATGATGTTCAGCCGGTGATAGTATTCGTATGGATTACTTCAGTAAAGGAGTAACTGTTAATTTATGAGTCAATGGCCTCTCGACGGTACTCTCGAACCAGGGCCCCTCAGAACCTAGTTACACCGCTGCTCAGAGGTTATTTCCAGGCATCTAGAAAACAAAAAATTACTGGACCCTCCTAGTGTAGTATTGTCTCTCGTAGTAGTATCATCTCTGGACCCGCCCCTGATTTTTATTATGATAATTATTGAACTGAGACTTATCTTTATTCTTTCATCAGTAAGACATATTTTACAATTTGTAAAATATGTCTTACGGATGAAAGAATACAGATAAGTAAGACATATTTTACAATTTCTTATTCAACAAAGACTTACTTGTTAATCCAAAATGTAAGACTTCATTGATCATTGTATTTGTTGATATTTGATCAACTTTTCAAAATGATTTGGATTCATTTGGGAATGAGAAGATGCGCCGTAATGAGTATTTGCTGAGAGGGACGTTTATACTTTGGTTGTAACAGAGTTTTATTGTACATTGCGTATAACAGAGTGTTGTGTGATAACGCCCTGTGGGTGTTGAGGCTTGCTTGCAATAACTAGGCTGTGTGTCATCCAATTTAGATACTGACGTCATTCTATCAAATTATACAGAGTTACAGAACCTTGATCCAAAAAGTGTGTGTGTTGTTTCTCCAGACCCATTTTAGACTGAAGTGATTACAAATCTATAAAAATAGGCCTACCAGTATTTTAAATAGAGGTTGATAAAATGTAGTACTGTATACTGTTGCTTTTGAAGCTGCTATTAAGTTGTTTCATTTTTCTACTGATTTTTGCTCCTAATGTTGTCTTTTTATTAAGGGCCGAAATGGCTATACAAGATTTTTGTGGGGATTCATCTGTTAAAAATATGAATCCCATGAGATTTTTATGTTGGAAAGCAAGATTTTAGTATTTTTGCATACTGCAAATCAATATAATGTAGAATCCATTTGTCGAGGGGAGCATTTTTTTTTCAATGCCATCTTTGCGGCCATGTTTGATTTCAAGATGGCTGACGTAACACATCAAGTATCCAAAAACACTACCGTGCCTGATATCATTGGAAAGGTAATTGTACAGTACACTGATCAATTAATTCTTTATACCTATACCAAATAATATATATATAAGATATATGTATATATAATAAGATATAAGCCAACAAAAAGGTCAAAGGTAAAAATAAAAGTTGTCATGTTTGGTATCATTAGAAAGCTCTCCCAATGCTGAATAATGTTTTACAGTACATAAATATAAGAAACTGAGTAATTAATACAAAAATGCCCCCCTCAAAAAATGGATTCTACATGTCCTGCGGTTTTTCAATCACGGAATTACATTGATGCAACAGATACAACATATATTGCTTTTTTGGTTGATTTTGTTTTATTGTGTTGTTGAGTGCTGTTGATGTTACATTGTGTTTGTTTATCTCCTGAAGACTTGGGACACTAATGGGAATAAGCTGCCATGGCTGACTAAATTATGCAACTGTCTGTTATGAACTAATATTTTTTCCTTATTTAAATTGTTTTATTTTCATATGGTTACTTATTTAAAAAAATTTAATGAGAACAATTTTTGCCCATCAATTAAGACACAGTTGCTTTAGCTGTATTCTTTTACAGACTCTTGGTTGTTGAAGGATTGGTTGTTGAAGGATTTTTGTAGTAAATTATCTGTAATTTGTAAATTAGCAAAAACTTCTTTCTTTTTTTTTTCAAACTTTATTCTTTATTCAAAATCGAATCTCAGCCTTGCTGCTGAATTGTATGATATTTATAATAGAGTAATTGAAATGAAAAGAATTTGGTAAGTAATTCTAATCTATATACAGGTATTAATTATGTCACAACCACATTCCGCTACTTTTCTAGGTTGGATATTGGATAACAACGAAAAAACAGCCAAAAACCACCGAAAATCAGTACGTGTTTCGACATGTTTCGCGAGTTGCTTATGTCACGTAAATATAATCCCATCTTTTCTGTACCGCAGCACTTAGGTCTAAAAAATATCGCGTCGGGCCGCAAAAGAACCAGTTTATGTTTCGTAGCTTCATTCTGTCACTGCGCAGTGCTTAATTCTCACATTATGTCAGCAAAATGAATGAGAAGCACGTACTCGCCCCGTTTTTAGTCGTGGCACTAGAGGGGACTGGGGAGCCAAGGCCCCCATCGCTTGTTCTGCTATTATTGCTTGTTGCTACTACAGTTGTTATTATGAGCAAACTCTTTATTTAATGATAATTATATTCTTTTCTTTCAGTATATGAGTGAGAAGATAGGAGGGGCAGAGAGGACAAAAATGGATGAAGAATTCCTTGAGATGGAAAAGGTGAGTGGATTCCATAATATTCTACTTTGGCATGTTGAGCATCACGGTACATTTTGACCTAATGCCTCCAATACAAGTACAGAATAGAGCTGGAAGATATTATAAACAATTAACAGGTACTACATTATGGTGGGAGTCAGGTGTTCCTTGGTGATCATGGTATGCAACCCACAGAAGGTAAAAGTTGCAGAATGAATTGAAGAATGTAAATATATGTGTCTAGACATGTTTTCTGTCCTCCATATACTACTGTATGCCAGTTATCAGCAACAACACTAGGTGAAGCATGGACTTAAACTACTAATGTATAGTACAGTTATTATCATGGTATCATTAATTCAGTTATATCTTGCTTTTGTAATACCAAACTAATCTTATCAGAACAGAGTGCAAAGGTCATAAAGGAGGAAACCGTATGTCTAGGTCTTACAATCAGAACTCCAAGGGGAGTAAGCCTAGTTTTTATCAATTAAGTCTGTATTTAAATTTATTATTATCAAACATTTTCTAGATTTTAATGGAGGAACATTTCTATCAGTATATTCCAGTAGCCTTGAAAATCTGTCAAATTAAATTTATTGTTGATTGTGATTATATTACTAGATTACTGGACCACGTGATGCGATTAAAGGCAGTTTAATCCCATAGTTGGCCACACGTTGGGATTATTTTCCTGGGCTACTCCACTTCGTAGTGGGGAATTGATAACAGGCTTAGTGTAAAAACCCAATTAGCACAAACAAAAACGTCTTGTATAAAAATAAACCCTATTGGAAGTAACGCAAGCTCACGTTATATTTCTGAGAATTACATTTATAATTTATTGAGATTATCGTCACCGTTGCGATCAAAACCAACAGACAGCAGAAATATAAAACCAGGAGAGGCCTAGGACATAGATATTATACCTCCATGGATAGGCCTAGGCTTTGGCTTACTCAAAAAAATTATGGAGTAAAATTAAAAATCGAAAACAGGCAATTTTTATGAATTTTTATTAGGCCTAATTATATCTTTTTTACAGTTAGTCTTTAAAATTATCTTTTCTTATATCGTTTTAGTATTAATTAGGATTATTAAATAAATAAATAAAACTGTCTAGGACGACAGACAGATATCGGTCTGCAGTAGGCCTACATTCGATCATGAACGTAGATAGGGTACACTTCCTTCAGTGTTAGCAAAATACAAAAAAATATTGAACTTCATATTAGTACCTTTATCTGATATAAATGTGAGCAGGTGTCTTAGGCCTATATGTTATCTATTATAATATTGAATAATCTGGAACTTTGGTGGAACAGTAGATCCATTGTATGTGACGAGAAACGTTTCAAAAAAAGCAAATACAATTTTCTCCAGCTAGCAGTTACATGCACTGCTCTCACCCCTTTCTACCGATGAAACACATGTTTTGATGCGGCATAAACCTAGACTCTATTCTATTTCAATGTTGATTAATCTCGAAGTTTAGTGTAAAAGAATATATTTATTATATATGATTATCAGGCTCTTTAAAAAGGGTATTGTATTGTATACTGTAAAGTATTGTTTTCTTCGTGTTTTCTCTAGATTGCTGTTCAATGTATTGCTTTCAACCCTTTTCAAACAACGAAGCACATGTTTTGTTGCGTCGTTGATTAACCATGGACTCTACCATTCCATATGGGTTATTAATTTTATAATAATTTTTCAAAATAATTAAATTTAAAATGTATAATCATTAAATCGTTTTTAAAAGAGAACTAGCAAAATGATTTTTTGTTTTAGAGAGGATTTTTGATATGCCATTAATAATAGAATCAACCTTAAAATCGTTTTTTGGCCTTTTTTTAATGAAGTTATAGGCAATTATATACGATTTTACTATGACATCACTGGCGAAAGAGTAACAAAAGATCGTGTAAATAGCGCCGCGTAGGGTATCCGTTGCGTACGATCTTTGCGTGTACGCTGTAACCATGGCTGTAAATTGTGATTGTTACAGCATGCACGCAATGATCGTACGCGGCAGATATCCTACGCGATGGATACCTTACGCGGCACTATTTACACGGTCTTTTGTTACTTTTTCACCAGTGACGTCATGGTAAAATCTTTATAATCGTCAATAACTTCATAAAAAAATAGCCAAAGAACGATTTTAAGGTTGATTCTATTATTAATGACATATCAAATATCCACTCTAGAACAAAAAATCATTTTGCTAGTTCTCTTTTAAACGCTTGAATGTACCAAATGACTATGTTATTAATTTCATTTATAAAACGCACTGGTAATGTATAAAAGTAGTTTTCAATTGTTGATACGCCACGGCGTATCAAGTGGACTTGGAACGTCTTCCTTGTAGTGTACTGCATCGCCGGCTGGATCAGATTATCATACAAGCATATACAAGCGACTGTTGTACACACACACACAGTAGATCTTGATTAATTAGGCCTATGTTCATGTAATATACTGTTTACGCTAATTAATTTATGTTCTACTGAATGAGCTGTTCTTGTTTGATTTTTAATTTCTTTTTGTCACTTCCTTGTTGTCTTTATTGTAATTAATTTATTTGTATCGTACCAAATCCATTTTCAAATATATAACAAATATAAAATATAATTGAAAATGAGACTTAAAGAAAATAATAAATACAAGATTTAATTGCACACAAAAATTCAGAGACTGATATTTTCTTAGTTTATTCTATGCTTTTCCATGGTAACGTTGAGTCGTTATCACTGGGCGCCGTACAAGGGTACGGCTATGCATAACTCGGCCCACAGCAAGATCAATGACCCTTAATAGTCAATTTCCATAGCAGCAGAACCGTGGGACTGTTCCTATAAGAAGCAGGTACTGGCATTAAATTGCGTTTATCCTGTCACTACGAATTTATTCCTCCATGCTCGCTCATGGAACAACATGAGTTTGGCCTGGTTATAACACTGGGCGGTGTACAAAGGGTTTGAGCTATGCATAACTCGGCAGGCAGCAAGATCAATGACACATACAATTTGATTCAGTCTGTATTTCCATAGCAGCAGAGCGTGGGAATGTTCCTATGAATAGTTCTAGAAAAAGCAATATACTGGCATTAAATTGCGTTTATCCCGTCAATATTCATGGCAAAAACATGAGTTTGGCCTGATTATAATACAGTATAAAAGTGTATAGGAAATTTCAGTGGGTTTCGAGTCTTGGTATTCGACATTTCGGTTTTAAATATTACAGAATAGCTCAATAACAAATGACAGGATATAGTATTAAAATTAATTCATAATAACAAATGAAACTTATGACAAAACATAGAAAAGAGACGTCGATAAATTACAGTACATCAAAATCACGAGATAAACCGACGCAAACAAGTAGAACAAAAATGTCGGAAAACGAACCCTAATTCGCGAAATGGAATCGTCCAACATTTTTGATCAGTATCTTGAACCACTCGTCGGCAACGTGAAGAGATTTTAATCCCCAACCACACGTTGTAGACGGGTATACGCATTGCTTTATTTTGCGAGGCTCCCTTATATTGATCTCTTTTATTTTAGTAAAACATATATCAATAAAAGTGACCTTGCATTCAAATAAGTTATTTATATATATGTATTTTTGTAATTACTTTTCTTTTAAATTTGTATTTTATTTAACTGTACCACTTTGATAAACAGTACACAAGTACTGAAAGTGCATGCAGTAGAAAGACAGAATAAATAAATAAGTTAGTAAAAAGAAAAGCAATTGCTTGTTGTTTGTAATGTTAAGCACATTCTGTGATTTATCATGTCTACATAACTTGTTGACTTAGAATGTGTCGTATTTGTAATATTTTGTTAAGTCGTGGAGCAATGTAAAACTTTTCTAATTATGGATGTGTCTTAAAATAACTTCATGTTTCGTTTTCATTCCATCATAAATGCTAATAATTCGATCTACCACACTATATGGTTAAAATCCTAACAGGAAAATTGAATTGCTAAAACATTTGTTGAAATAGTATTGTATTAGTGTTAGTAAATAATTATCCACCAGTCACCCCATACCCCAGGTTAAACCCTTGTGCTTGTCAGACACTAGAGTGCTGATGATAGTCATCAACCATATGATGACTTGATTGTAGAATTAATTGATGAATTATTATAAACAAGCAGCACATTATAGTGAACAAAACCATTAACAGTAATCCATCTGTAATGTAATCACGCGCCTAAGTGGCGGCTGAGGAAAAATTTCTCTTTACTGAGTGTAGTTCCTCCTTTTTTACTCTTTTTGGTGTTCTTATTTTAACTGAGTGAGTTTGGGCTTTTGGACGTTTCTGTTGATGTGATTCTGGATTCTGTGAACGCTTTTTTGTGAATGCTTTTTTGACTTTTATTGCCAGCCTGGTCATTGCCGATTTTACTGTTTTACGATTTGTGCTCTGTGGCCGTGGAATCGCTTTGTTGCTCCCTTTGTTTTGCTTCAGTTTACCTACACTCACTCCGCCTGGAATTGGAATGTATCATGCAAAGCAGTTCATTAACCGTTTCTAAACCTCGAGTCTCTAGGCACGGTGGCGGAGTCGCCTTATATGTTAAGAATAACATCAACAGTAACATTCTCAAAAACGTAACTGTTCCAGATGGTATGGAATGCCTTTGGATTGCTGCTCGTCCACCGCGCTTACCTAGGTCAATTGCCAGATTAGTATTCGGAGTTATTTATTATCCTCCGAGGAGTCAAATAGCTGAATCTCTCGTCGACCACTTATCTACCACTATTGACCAGATCCTTACTAAGCAGCCATTGACTGGCGTTGTCATTTGAGCGTTGAACTGTGCTCCTTTCACCTTTTGATGTCTTGTTTCCGTGATGGATTCGAGTTTTTTTTTATTTATTTTTTTTCACTTTGTAATCATGAAATGTAATTCAACTCTTAATTCGTACGCATTAATGAGCTGCCATATTTTATGAAATTGTTGTTGTTTTGTGGTTTTGAATAAAGAAATACCGAGATATAGTAAAGTAAGGTTATACTTGTCGGTCTAGAACCAGAAGAATATATTTGCAATTCAAGATCAGACGTACTACTTTGTTAAATATGTAAAATAATTGAATGAATATTTCAAAGCATCAGTAGAGGCAAATGGATGGACAAGAATGAGTTTTTATTGTAGATAGCAGCATATGTTCACTTGAATGTATTGACGTTAATGCGAACTTCTTAGCAAGTCCGTACTCAAGTCTACGGTATAGTCTGATATTGTATGATCTAACTGTTCTTGTTGCATACTGTATAGTGGTCATACGATTAGCTCTACAAAGGGCTGCAACGTGGACACTCCTAAATTGACCCCAGTGCTAACTGCAGTGTAAAAACAAAAGCATTTATGATTATTATTATTATTTAAAACAGTACAATTAGTAAATTGTAATTTCATTCAAGTCCTTATTATTGTTAAACTACTGTGTACAAACAACAAAAAAATATACAATATCTAAATCATTAAACATACTATTATACACTGTAACAGAGATAACAAATCAAGTGTAATTTAAAAATGAAATATACTAATTTTATTCTTTCTTTACTATTGTAGACAATAGACTTCACAGAGCATGCAGTTGATGAAGTAATGGCCAAGACAGTTGAATTTCTACAACCTAACCCAGGTTAGTTGATTCCACACAACTTATTGTGTACTACAAGTATTGATAACGTAAACTTTGGTTGAATGTAATAGCTTGTGCATGTTTTATTTATTGATTCATTTAATTTACATTTTTTTTCAGTAAAACCACTTGGAAGATACGTAGGTAGAACAGTAAAAGATGAAGTTGATAATTTTAGTTAAATCTTAAAATGTACTTTAATTACTTTGCTGATTATGCTTTTATTTTCACAGTTGCTAGGGCTAAGTTGTCAACTTCTTTGACAGTTTCAAAGATGAGGGGTCAAGCTAAGACTGCTCGTTATGTTCAGGCTGAAAGTATTCTAGGAGACTGTATGGTAAAGAGTGGCACAGAATTAGGAGAAGATTCTTCCTTTGGTAAGTCAACAAATTATATTCTATATTATAAGTTACACCAGAAGATATACATAAATAATAAATATTCATGGTGTCACCATAGTGTTTCATTCCTTCATTCTTTATTTTGCCTTTCATAAAAGATACAATATATTCGATACATACTATAACATAAATTTACATAAAAGTAAATTACCAAGAGAGAAAAGTAATATATTTATTTAGATTATCGTTTGAATTTTTAGTTTTGTATATGGATAGAGCTATGTACAGAGCATATTTCCTACATAGGAAAAATAGTGGGCACTTTGTTTTTTTCTTTTTGGCTTTTCAAATGTTCAGCGTTGCTATTGCAATGTTGAAATTATCCCTTGGAACATTGCTATGAGAAAAACCTCTTAGAAAGAAGAATTGAAAAGTATTTATCCCCAAGAAAGAAAAAAATATTTTCTTTACGCTAAGAGATAAAAAAAAACAGTCCATTCTTTATTATCAAAAAAATTGAAAACGTGTACATATGTCTATATTGATATAGAGACGTAGAGCTTTGGTCAGTAAGAACAATTATGTGTACTGTACCATAAAACCTACATTAGTTTTAATATGTACAATATCATCATCATGTACAATATATATGTATGTTATTCTCAATCATGAGCAGAATCAGAATGTATAAATTTACGACATAATAGCAAGAAACATAAAGCCAAAAAGAGATAAGCTATAGAAAATTCATGGATTGAAACTGGCTTAGAAACCTGTAAATTTTAATTTGTTATGGAAACTAAGACAGAAATGTATCACCAAGTTACTCTTTGCTAGTACTATTCAGTTATAATATTTTCCTGGTAGTTCCTGAAACATGTTCATTATTTACACATTCAATTATGCACACATAAATATAGTTTTGGGTCTGACTTCCTATTAAAAATAAAATCTGCTAACTTCTGTCTGCTTTTAAAAACTAATGAAGATGGCAATAATACAAACCTGTGTATTTAATTTTGTTACAGGTCACGCCTTGGTGGATTGTGGTGAATCCATGAAACAGCTTGGCGATGTGAGAGACAGCTTTGATATCAGTGTTCGGCAAAACTTCCTTGAACCTCTCAATCACCTGAAACAAAAAGACCTCAAGGAAGTCAACGTAAGGTTCTCAACTCACCTGCTTCACTGCACCACATTGCCATTTTGAAAAAATTATCTTATATTTTTCAGTACAAACTTTAAAAATAGAACTAATAAATTAAGAAAAATAATATAAATAAAAAATAAATTCATTCAAACATAAACTACATCGCTAAAAGTTCAACTTTGTTTTCTAATGGCAGACGAGATTGATATTCGTTTGCGTAACCTGTTCTCAAAAAATTGTCTACATCCTTAATTGAGTAATTGGTCAATTTGATAGCCATTTTATTGCCTGGTGTCCTCAATTCAGTTGGTTTAGGCTATGTTCACACACACGGCGTAAGACTGGCGTAGCTTACGCCATTCACGGATTAAAATTCCAAAGTGTTCACACAAACGGCGTTCGCTATATTAACGCTGGTGTTAAACTAGTAGTAATATAGGCCTATGGGGGAATAGTTTTAAGTTTTAAATAATGTACGGGTTCTTAACCGTAGTAAAATTAACAGTGCATCAGTAAAACTTTTAAATCTGTGAATTGTTCGAAGTGAAATTATATGATGATTGTATTTTAAATTAACAATTTTACTTTGATTTTTCAGCTAGCATTGTTGGTGTTTCAGGTTTTAATAGACAGTCTAAATAGGTTAAAATATCTTACAAAACACAATCAACAAATCATATACATTATAACTAAGTAAAATCCAATAGAAAAAGAACCCCTTTACCATTTCATTTATAGAGAGCACAGGAAAGAGACCAAAGTAGCTAATATATTGCAATCGTGATTGGTCAATCTCTTGAAATGAGGTAAAATCAAAGCATCACTGGCATTAGCTCAGTGGCGTTAGCAAATCTGGGGTCTGCAGGTAGCGTTAATAACGCCAAGGATGTGGCGTTAACGCCACTGCCTAGTTCACACACAAAGGCGTACGCTACGCCATGCTTAAGCCAGCCTTACGCTGTGTGCGTGAACATAGCCTTAATTTTAGTGGAGAGAATCGATAAATGCCTATGATTTTGTATTTTTCATAAATAGATGATAGGTATAGTTAACTCCAAAAAATGATAACTGTTACGTATTGTCTTGGAAGTATGCAAATAAGATGGCATTAATAAAAAGTTTCCTTAGATATCCATGAATCATATTGACATTTTAAAATTTAGAGTCATAAAAAATGTCATCTGCTACACATTATCTGCTACACGTTGTCTGCTACACAATGTCTACTGCAGAAACATATGTCATTTGAGTAATTCTTGTGTAAGTAATCTCTGGAATTAGATTTTAAGTATATTTATTGTTTTTTTCTAAACTTTTTTTGTCAAACAATTTTTAATCCATTTTTTACTCAGCATCACCGTAAAAAGGTTGATTCAAGACGTCTGGACTTCGACTTCAAAAAAAAGAAACTTGCTAAAGGTAACAAATATATTGATATTAATTAAGATACATTGAATATATATTTTTCAGGTATTCTTTCTTTATGTAATACCAATTGCAAAAATCCGAAAACATGAAAAAATGAATGTGGCATATTGTAAGCACCAATCGAATAATGAAAAAAAAAAAAAGTTTTGCAAATTTTTTTTTTCTGTATATAATTGCAATATTTTGTTATGATTACTCCAAAATATAAGAAAAATATGACAACAAATAATTTACATAAACTGAACAGAGCAATTGATTACAATAATCAACCATATTTATGTTGGAGTAAATTTCCTTTAAAAGTAACAAAAATCAAATCAGTTGATCAGCACAAAGGCAAAGCACGATCCTTAACAGATGAATTAATCCATAGTGTAAAGATATACCACCTATGGTAAAATCAGGAAAACCCTTCAAAATGTCATTAAAAGTTACTTTCAATGAGCTCTAGATCAAAACAATTAAGTTCTTGCTTATTTACAGATTTTCACTACAAAAATGTCTTACAAAAGCTCTTATTGCTATATTGACTATGACATGTCTTAAATTCATGATCACTTTTTGATAATAAGAACAATACAGTTTTTTTTATTGATTTTGCTGTGTTCCATATGTTCATATTTGCGATTCTTTCTTTTCTCAATTCTTTGCTGTGTCACTCCATCCCGCTTCACCATACAGGAGGTAATTTTCTATTTTTAACATTTGTTATTTGGTTTGTGTATTAGTGATTAAGTGATTACCTTCCAGCAATTTTGATCTGACTATAAATTGATTTAGAACCATTTTTTTTTTGTTTAAGATTTTAAGACTATTTAAGACTATTATTCCTTTGGTTATTTGTAATTCTGCATTCAAAAAACTGGTGACCATGTAGTGATATGAATTAATTTACAATTGTCTTAAAAAGCAAAATATTGGAAAAGCAGTGTTGGGGAACTATGGCTGGATATTGGTTGAGATGTAAATGTGAATGTATAAAAAAATGTAAACAGTTTTATACATTTACAAATTATGAATATATATATATATATATATATGAACTATGAATGTATATATTATGTAAAAAATTAAAATTCGGCTTTGTTTAAAATGCGTTGTATTTTTTGTCAACTTACATCCATTTGGTTCTATTATCAAGGATTTCAGTTCAAGAAGATTACCAGTTTCTTTATTAAGAAAATATGAAAAGATTACTCTTCGTTTGAACAAAGCCGAATTGGATTTTAATTTTTTACATAATTGCAAGGCATTCTGAGTTTTTCCTGAATGTATATATATATACATATATATATATATAGATTAAAAGGCAAAATACTGAAAAACAACAATGCTGTGGAAACAATGGCTGGATCTCAGTAGAGATACAAAAATGATAAGCAACCCATTGCATATATGCCTAATTTATGTAATTTATTTCTTTTAAATGGTTACTACTCTAAAGTATTGCACATTAGCTTTTTATAGTTAGTGTAGAATAAGTAGTGAATTTATATTAGATAATGCTGGCACAGTTATGATTTTCCTTCACTACCATATCATTTTTGTTTTGAGAGAAATATATTTATGAATTGTGAATTATGAATTCCAATTCAAAGCAGAATCAACAACAATCATGTAGATATTTTTCTGGCTTTATTTAGTTATCTTAAACTTCATTTTTATTTTTGTGTCATTCATTGTTTTTCGCCTCTCATTTGAATGTTGTTTTTAAAATAAAGTTAAATTGAAGCTGGTTCTTGGATGTGGACCATTTCAAATTTTTTAAATGCTGAATTTTGATTGGCTGTCAGCAGTCTGTCGGACATGTGGTCATGTGGCATAGATGATTGCATGAACCAAAGCACGAACATGAAATCACGATTAAATTCAAGCGCTATATAAGAGCGACATATTATTATTATTATTATTATCTACAATTATTTATTTTTTTTCGATAATTATGAGCACCTAATTGCAAATGTTTCTGTTTTTTGGTTTGGAACTTGTTTTGCAAAAAAAAAAAATCGTGTTTTTTTTTCATTGCATAATTTCCACTGATATCACAACCTAGTTGGCAATAATGGTAATTGATTGATTGATTATTTGTACCATTAACAATCCCCATTACTTTCCCCTTTTCACTAATGCATGCATATTCCTAGCATGGTGGTTTGCAGATTACTCAGTAGTACTTTATAAACTTCACCTGTTTTTTTTTTCTTGAAGTTTATTACAGTTTTTAGTTTAGAAGTGTTTTTATAAATGAGCATTTTTATATACTTCCTTTTTAAAATATACTTTCTATAAGGATAAGTACCTTTTAAAGAATATAGCAACTTATATTTTAATTGAAAATTATTAGAATAATATTTTTTGTTTTAGTTATTGTATTTAAAAGTGAATCATATTTTTGGTTCAGAAATATTAATCATTTAGATTACTATGTCTGTTGTCCTTTCTTGCTCTATGCTTTTCTTTCTAATGATATTGATGTTTAATAATAATAATAATAATAATAATAATAAAGGTAAGCTAGATCATAGTCATCATTAAAATAATGATAATAAAGGCTCAATCTTAACAATATTACACCTAAAATTATGTTTATGTAAAATATAAATGAATATTGTTTATTATTGCTTTTAGAATCCTCATTTCTTCCATCTTGTACTCATTCTTTGACTTGCAAATGATCTTCTTTCTTTCCCGTCATAACATGGTTATTAACGTTATTGGTTAGTTTTTGGTATGTTGGGTACCACTAGTGCAGAAGGTAGGCTAGCTATTACCTCATCTTATTTAAACAAATATAGTTGGAAGCACGAATTAACCAGCACGGCATTTGTATTAACACATTTATCTGTGATTATCTGTAATTCCAGTCTTAAATGCATATCCTGTTTCTGTTTAGTATTACATTGCATAATGTTTACAGTTTTAAAAATAGATGAAACTATCGTGATATTCAGAGGATTCAAACTTGAGAGTTTAGGATTTTGAATGACAAACATATGAACCTTCAAGCTACAGTTCCACTGCGTATGAAAATAGTAATTATTCAGCTTTATGTGTATAGTTGTGCTTGGCAATAGAATGCTGTTAAGTAGGAAGCTAATCAACAAGTTTACAGAATGCTGTTAATTAAGAAGCTAATCAGTAACATAAATGTTTTAATTGTAGAATGTTGTTAATTAGCTTATTAATATGTATGTTTTGATATTGTTCATTGGAAATCTAATCGATAGAATTATGTATGTTTTAATTTGACTTCAGCTTGCTGCATGTTGTTCTACAAGATTAATTTTGAGCATTTGCTATATTACATTTTATTCCAAAAAATGTGAAGATAATTTTGGTTTAATTATTGGATTTTATTGTAATAATCTGTGAGCTAAAAGTTTGTGTACTGATATACATGTATACTTGTGTGTGTATATTTATATTCTTGTAGATGTGTATAACATGTATATATTTAAAATTTCTTTTTGGTGTTCTTATTTCTTTTGTATAAATTAAATTATTAAGATTAAAGATTTGATGTGAGCAAGCAGAATAGCAGGTTGAGAGTTCTTTAACTTAATGTTATCTGTTTTGTGTGGCAGGATCAAATCTCCCGGAGGATGAGGTTAGGGTGGCAGAGGAAAAGTTTGAGGAATCACTGCGGCTTGCTGAGGATGGCATGAAGAACATTATTGAAAGTGATGTGAGTATGAAGTCAGTTTATGCTCATGTTGTCAACCTCATGAACTACATGAGGGGATAAATTAGCTAATGAGGGGTACTTTACATGGTGCTTTTATAAATTTAAGAAATCCATTAGGAAATGAATGAGCCAATATGTAGTATGGGCTCTTTCACAAACTGATGAAGGAATCAATAAGAAGACTTTATATTGGCCCTTTTTCAACCTGATAAAACTAAAAAAGGAATAGAATCAACTTGCAACATCAGCTAAAATTATATACAAGGCATTAGTGCAGTTTGAAAATTCATACATCATGAACAACAATGATCTGGGAAGAGATCCCTTGTGGCACACTGCATATATCAGTGTTTATCCGACAAACAATGCTACAAAAACAAACTGTTTTCTTCGATTGAAATAGCTATTAAACCAAACAAGTGCCACTCCTCGAATGCCATGGATAGATAACTTAAGTTAATGATAATGATGATGACAAAAGACAAGGTCTACAGCAAGGTGGTGGTGGTGACTTTTTTGATCGCTAAATCTTTTGTTTGTTTTGAATTAAACATTTCGTCACACACATTCACATTGAGGTAAAGCTCATTTGAAAAAAGTGTGAATTCATGTGGAATTATATTAATTTTATTTTTCAAAATTTGTTTTGTTTATCAGGTTGAACAAGTAAGACAATTACAAGCTTTAGTAGAGGCACAACTAGACTACCACAGACAAGCAATGGAGATAATGGAGAGACTCCAAGAAACCTTAGAGGACAGGTAAGATTTTAATTTTAATTATTGTTTTGTAATAACTGGATGGGAGTGGTTCTCTGACATACATTATAGGGCCTGTTTCTGTTCAATTTGAAAAAATACCAGTTATTTTTTTGGCCAAGCTAAATTGATTTGTAAACATTTGTCTGTGTTGTTCAATTTTTTTACTATAAAAAAACCGGTTGTCTCGTTGGGTGGTCGGGGAAGGTATGATGACACGTTACCCATAATGCTTTTGAAAGTCGGAAGTGTGTAATGACCGTACAGTAAGAACTGTCACTTTACAGTTAGCGATCAAAAACAAAATAAGAATCTAAGGTTTGACCCGAGATCATAAGGTCAATGATGAATAGCTGTTAAAAAGTGCACCGCAACGAACGGTTATTTGTTGTGCAAACACTGAGTCGATTGCATGTTTTTCTGCACGCCATTTTAACTGTTTATATTAATCTGGGGCAGTTTATGTTGACAAAATAAAAACGGGTAAATAAAAAATGGTTAAATAACCATTTTTTCATGCCAACAGAAACAGGCCCATAGTAATTAAATTTACTTAGAAACCAGGCCCTCCCATCTAGATGTCTTAATTGCCAATAAGAATAATAAGAATAACAATAGTAAGGTATCTGAAATGTCAATGGGTCATGGGCTAAAAAGGTTGCGGAATGAGGTCATACTATCAATGGCGTAGATTTAGATTGTATTCACTTGAACCAGATCAGAACTCCGACCTTTGTCATAACATTAACATTGCTGAGTGGAAAAATTACATAAAAGACTCAACTTTTGGGTGAAGGGCAAAACTACGAAGTTCAGCATTTCCCCCGACAGGTGGTCCATGATCCATCATAGCCCAACATATGAGCCACATACACATTCACCTCAAGATGTCTACAATAATGAATGCCTTGTAACTGATTTTATGTCACGAGTTAGTTTGCTACTAGAAAGAAAATGAATTTATTGGCTAGATTATGATAATGTATTATTTAAACTATTGTACAAAAATATCATAATAATCTTAATTTTATTTTTACCTCAAAAACCTATATATGTGGCAAAGACAAGTAAAACCAGTCACTCGTTGGAAAAATCAATATTTAGTTATTAATACAGTGTTTAACAGTAAAATGAGAGCTATAAAATGGTAAAAGAATCATTTAAATCCGACACTTCGTTATGAAGTTACACGAGTTTAAACATACAGCTGTTTAAAGAGTTAGCCATACAGTCGGTAAAGAACAATATTTGAGAAATCAGCCTTCAAA